CTGCCCGGGAGGCGATGCGGTGCCCAACCGGCGACGGGGCATCGTTAAAAGCCAGTCCAGGTATCTCCGTGTGTGGAAGGAAGGCGCCACCTGAATGGGAAACATCAGTAGCCTGGATGTATCATAGTCCTCTGTAGCGGCAGTTCTGTGTTCAGATCACCCTAAACCAAAGTACTGCAAGTGGGAGTGCAATACGGCAGATTGCCTTTTTTTTCTTTTCCCTTTCTGTGTGGGAAAAGAAAACGGGATAAGGATGCTGCTTACAAGAAGACTCACTTTGAATCCTGTCCTCGAGATCGCTGAGTTATTTTGGGAAGGAACCTCTGCAGGTCAGCTGGTCCAGTCCCCTCCTCAAGCCAGGCTCGGGTAGAGCACGGGAATACAACAATTCCCGTTTGCACAGTAGAAAGTGTCAGGTCAGAGTGTGGCACAGAACTTCATTAGTGTGGAATTTAGTACAACAGCTGAGCTGAGACACGGAAATCTTTTTCATAGAATCATAGAATGGTTAGAGTTGGACGGGACCTTAAAGATCATCTAGTTCCAACCCCCCTGCCATGGGCAGGGACACCTTGCACTGGACCAGGTTGCTCACAGCCTCATCCAGCCTGGCCTTGAAGACATCCAGGGATGGGGCATCCACAACATCTCTGGGCAACCTGTTCCAGTGCCTCACCACCCTCTCTGTGAAGAATTTCTTCCTGATATCTAATCTAAACCTCCCTGATTTCAATTTATACCCATTACCCCTTGTCCTATCACTACAGGCTCTTGTAAAAAGCCCTCTCCCAGCACCCTTGTAGGCCCTTCAGATACTGGAAAACTGCAATGAGGTCTCCTGCCCCTCCTCCCAGTATTTCCTTACAGTGTGACTTCTTTTCTGTGTTGCTACAATGTTTAAAATTCTTGATGCAGCAATAAGCTGCTTCTGTGTATTTCAGGAGTTAAAGATGATGAAAGGCTATGCTAACTCCAACGTGGGAGGGTTTTTAAGTTAAAAACCATAGAAAACAGTTCTTAACTAAATGGTACTACAAGCTCTTCTTGGTGTGTGCAATCAAGGTCTGTGTGAATAAACGGGGCTGGAGTTGGTGCCGTCAGCCCCTGTGCGGGCTCTTTGAAGGCCAAAGCCAAGTATTTCTGCAGACTGGGTGACCAAAATGCAAGAAAGGTAGACATTGCCATGGCAGGGTAATGGGCTAACCTGACAGCGATTGGATGCGTCGGGGAAGAAATGCAGTGTATTCCCTCATAATGTTATATTCAACAGCGGTTTTCTTCCCCTGTTATTGCTGAAAAATTGGGAGGGGTCCCACCATCCTGGAGGATGAAGTGTTTCTTGTGGAGAGCCAGGACTGAAGGAAGTGGCTGTCCTCTGGCAGAGATCTGTGGGCTTACAGATGTTTCCAAACCTCACACTAAACCCATGCTTGGCTTTTGTTATACCTCAGTTCTTTAAACTGGAATGGAACACGGTCCGAAAGGTTGGGAAGGGAGATTCATTCTGAGGTGGTTTTCTGAGGTCTGGTTCTTTTCAGTATTCATTTTGAAAAAACCAAACCCACCCAACCAATAGCTGAACCTTTAAAATATGGACAAGTGCCACTTTTTTTTACAGTAAATATGAAGTTTACATAATATAGTGGAAAACAAAAAAACGGGATGTGAAGGAGAAAAACAAATCAGGTATCACACCAGTCACAGGTTTATGTGGCAAGTAGAATTCTGTAAGACATACCCGAAAAGGGGGAAAGAGCCATGCTTTTTAATTCAGTGTTTCAGCCTCACTGTCAGAAAATAAGGACAGCTAAAGGTGAGATGCTACACGGGATGAGTCTCTCTTCACTCTTGACCGTGGACGCAGTGATAAACACAAGCCAAGCGAAAGGCAGGTGTTCAGTGACAAAGGACAGAGGAGAGAAAAGGGCAAAGACACTAGGACTGCGTAGAAAGTAGAGGTATAAAAAAGGAATGTCCCTCGAGGTGGACATCCCTGCGGTGTCCGACAGCTGAAATGGGGAATGGAAAAGCACGTGAGAAGAGCGATGTATCGAAAACCAGTGAATGACCAAAACAGGCGTTAAGAGGTGGTATTTAAGAGCATTCAAGGCAACGTGAAGAAGATGAAAGAAGTACAAGGAAGAAAATAATCAAAGAGCAAATCCCAGTTTGAGAGGAATCACAGAACTGTTGGTCACAGGGGAGCTGCGGGTGGCTCTAGTCCCACCTCCCCCAGGAGGAAGGCCAGGATCAACATCAGGTCAGCCAGGGCTTTGTCTACATCTACTCCATCCCCACCGCTCTCTGGGCCCGGCATCCAGCGGGACTGGACTCCATCCCCACCGCTCTCTGGGCCCGGCATCCAGCCAGTTCTGAACCCAGCAGAGCGTACGCCCATCAGCACTATAACAGAGTTACACCCACAATACAACAGTATTGCACATACTGTTTAATGCAAAGGGAAACAGAAAAAACTATGAAATCTGATTTCAGCAAGCATTTTCTCTTGAAATTCAACCAAAGTCATTCCACATTCTGTTACATATTCCCTTGTTCTATGTCTGATTCAGCTAAGGTTGCTCAGGAATATTTCTCAGCCATTTAATAATACGCATTTTAGGAGTAATAGGCTCCCAGAAATGAACCGGCTGTTTTCACATCAGACCAAAGTGGAACATAAACCCCACGCGAGTCCAAGTCTTGTTCGGAAAAGATGTTCTCATCCAGGTCATCAGGAAGTTCTGCAAGTTGCCCCCATCCACCCCCCTCCCCAGGTCTAAGCCAACGGATGATAAGTTTTGTGGGACCATGTCTCGTGTCCTCAGCACACAGGGACAGCCCTGCACATCAGGGGGGAAGCGGTGAGCTGTGGGGGCAGCGCTCGAGCCGCCCTTCGAGACCTGCGGGCTGCCCGCTGGCAGCCTGGAATGACAGTGCTGCACGCTCTGGTAACGATGATGCTAATAAGGCTATACAGTTTTTACACAACTAAAAATAAAGTAGTGACTTTTCAGCTGTCCTGGGGGATTCTATAGCGTATATAGGGGGTTGCTCTGGAAATCATCCCAGGTCTCAGCCAAACATGCTTACAGAGCTGGAATAAACAATAGAACGAAAGCGTTTTCAAAGCCTGTCCCCATGGAGCTGAACAATCCGGGGCTGAAGACTGTATCAACATACGGGTCTGCCCAGGAGAACGCAGGGACAGCACCCCAGGAGTGCACGCTGCTCCTCCCGTTTACAGCGGGCCAAACTCGCTAAGGAACAGAACAAAGCGGCTTACTCTGTAACGGAAGTCAAGCCATCTCCGTAGGCTAACT